AGGGAGGGAGGGAGGGAGGGAGGGAGGGAAGGAGGGAGGAAAGAGAGAGTGCAGAGACAGAGAGAATTTAATTAATTGATCCCCCTGGAAGAGTTTACAGACAGTACTTGTACAGATGGCAGGATAGAGCAGAAACACCTGTCTTCTCCAGAGAGCCATCAGCAGTGCCAAGGCCTCCCTATGACTTTTGCCACCATTTGGACAATCATACACATACCATGGCACAAGGAGCAAATTTCAAGTAGCACATTTTGGAGTTCGGTCACCAGTTCTTTATTCCTTTTCTAAGCTAGAAGAGAACACAAACGCCCAAGGCTGCTACAGAGTACCTGTCTCCTGTCTGCAGACCTCAGGCATTTACGCTGTGAATGAGAAAGGGAAATGTGACCAACTAGAGATTGTCTAGTAAGTCCAAGATTCTTATAGACTCTAGTCTGTGTTTCTTCTCTAGGTCAGAACCTGTCTACATTCATCATTCAAGACCTTAGGATTCCTTGACTTGGATCTTTGTCTGTTGATGGGATTTGCATTTTAATAGCAACCAAAGCTTTGAAGCCACGAATACTTTCAGCACAAACTTCCGCAAATAATCTGGGATATTTCAGAGGGCTATGGCAGACTAGGCACATAGCTGAGCTTACACTGTGGTAACTAAGAAGTTATTCTGTAGAAGACAAGAATCATAACCACATCTTTCACTCTTCTCTCTTTCTTTTTATAGCACTGAGCACCGAAGTAGGCATGTGGTAATACCTCAGTAGGTGGTAGTAAATTGGCAAGAATTACTTACTTTGTTTTCCTTGTGTTTGTGGTACAGTAAGTTGTAATTTTACTCTTTTCCAATTTTACTAAATTTTAAGAAATGGTGACCATCAATGGAAATAGTAGTTGAGTGAGAATGACACATTAGAAAATTCCATGACTGGAAGACCGTCCCCCATCACTGCCAGTCTAGCTCTTGGGCCTCTGCATATGTGCCTTTGTACTAGTTACTTTTCACATTAATGCAACAAGCTACCTGGCAAAAACAACTTAAAGAAGAGCTAGTTTCTTTTGGCTCACAGGCCAGGACATGAAGCCCATTATAACGCGGGTAGTATGGCCTAGAAGCAAGCAGGACATGGCTGGCCCTACTTTGTCCACAGTAAGGAAGCAGAGAGTGATCAGTTCTGATGCTCAGTTCACACTCTCTTTTTTATTCAGTCCAGGCCCCCAAGTACAGAATGGTGCTAGCTCTCAATTAGAGTGAGTCTTCCTGCCTCAATTATGACACAGCCTGAAAGTTGTCTTCTTGGTGATTCTAGATTCCATCAATATGACAAGTGAGACTAGTCATCATTCTCCAATGAACATGAGCACCCCCACTTTCTGAAACAGGTCATTCTCCTTTGATTAGCATTGGTAGGATGATCTTCCTTGCTTCTAGCAGGAGTATGCTCCCCAAGAGAAAACAACCTTTGGGCAATGTGAATGTCTCCTTTCTGCTTCATGCAGTTGTAACTCTATTCTCCAAGCACAACAGCCAGCATCTTTGTCAGAGCAGCTCACTGAATTCTGGCTTGTCGACATTCCATTGTGGAAAGAGGATGCTGGGAGGGTCATTGGACCCTCACCTGAGATTCTGAGCTCTCCCTACTCCACTTCTAAACCTGCTGTGTAGAATTCTACCCTCATTTCATATAGTCTTATGGTCTTGGGAGATGCTAGAGTATGGAATGTTTGTAAGGTTAGCAGGAGTGGGGACTCTATCCCTGAAACTATGCAGAAGTTACTCCCCATGCGAGGGGAGAGTTTTCACTGGTACAGCTGATTGAAGTCACCTATGTTCCTGTAAAGAACCCCTTATCCATGCTCTGTAAGTAAGCCCAAGGAAATTATTGGTTCCTCAAGTTGGACTTTGGTGGAATTACATGTTAGTTTGTCACTGGAACCCTATAAGAAGAGGCAGACATTTGTTTAGGTCTCTCCTAGGGAAAAAGTTCCAGCAATGACAATTATTATCATGTGTCTTGTTCATCTCTCTACTTCCTTATCTGGTAGCAAGTTCTCTGCTCCTACCCTTCCAACCAAACCTCCTAACCACTTCAATGTTCCCGTCCTTCTGCATGCCCTTTGTATAAATGACTTTTCTTATCACTGTGACAGAATATGGCAAAAGTAACTTTAAAAAAGAGGGAGGATTTATTTGGACTCATAATTTGATGGGATATAGTCCACCAGGCAAGGCATGGTGGCAGGAAACTGGAACATCATACATGTTCACATCTATAGAAGAAACGGAAGTGGGGAACAGTAGGACGGGAGCTAGGCTTTAAACCTCAAGACTGGCCCTACCAGTGGTTCATTTCCTCCAACTAGACTCCACCTGCCAAAGAGTCCCACAGCCTCTCAAAGCAGCACCACTACTTGTAGACCAGGTGTTCAAATATGTGGACCTGTGGGGGACATTTCACATGTGAACTTGACACACTAGGATTCTATTAGCTGAGTCTTCTGTGGTCTTAGTTTGCTAATACAACAGTCTTTATCTTGTCTGCAAGCTCTTCAGCCTTTGCAGGGGCCAGTATAAGATCTCCTCACAGTACCATCCTCCTTTCAGAAAAGTCTTTATTTTCTTTCTTAAATAAAGATTTTATGATTCATTTATGTGTTTCTGTGCATGGCTGTGCATGTGTATGCTGGTGTATGTGGGTGCTCCAAAAGAGGGTATTGGATCCCCTGGAGCTGAAGTTATAGATGGTTTCGAGCCATGTGGTATTGATGCTGGGAACTAAACTCAGTTCCTCTAGAAGAATAAGCAGCATTCTTAATTGCTGAACCATCACTCAAAAACATTTTATTTTCAAATGTAGCTCTTCAGGCATATGTCAGTACTTTTAATAGAGAGAAAGCACACTCACATGCACATATTCTGGATTCTTTTGTATAAAAGTTAAATTTTACATTAAAGGTGGTAGTTCTTAGTTGGGAATTAGCCTGTTGGGTCCTATTTGCAGAGGTTTCCAAAGACATCTACCTTGAGACCATCTGCAGTTTTCCAGGAAGATAGTGTATGTACACATCTCAGGCAGCTAATGCCTGTTTAAACTGTTGATTACAAATCATGTCTTAGCTCTCAAATCTTGCCCCAGTCCCCCAGTGCTTTGTTTGAAGGCGACCAAGGCGGTGTCACAATCTCATTTGAAAATGCCTTTGCCCAGAAAACCTTTGCTGCAAACCCTCTTCAAACATGTGCTGTTCACAACCTGAAGATTACATTTAGGGCAGAAACTAATTAAAAAAAAATCTCCCAATAGTTAGTGCTTTCTCAAGAATTTTCTAGAATTTGTCTCAGTATCCGGTTCTTCCTCTGGAGAAGGGCTGTCGTCCTGACTTCAGATCTCTGCTTTAGAAAACAAGAGTCCGGAAGCACCGTTCCTTCCCTGCTCACTTCTTTCTTGTGACCCCTTCAGAATAAGATCATCCTGGATCCCATGACGTTCAGCGAGGCAAGGTTCCGGCCTTCCCTGGAGGAAAGACTAGAGAGCATCATCAGTGGGGCTGCGCTCATGGCAGACTCTTCCTGCACGCGGGATGACCGTCGTGAGCGCATCGTGGCAGAGTGCAACGCTGTGCGCCAGGCACTTCAGGACCTTCTCAGCGAGTACATGAATAACGTAAGTTTGAAGGCCCAGGCTCCTCACCCTCTGTTCTTGATGAATTCATCAAGCACTCGGTACTCTTGTCGCTGTTATGAAAGCATGCATAGATGTAAATGAGGACAGATGTTCCTGAAGAGTGTCAGATTTTCGTCACCGGGCTGCTCTGGAACAGCCTGTGCCCTGATTTCGTTTTCAAATGCATGTTCAGGGTGGAAGAGATGAATGGAGTGTGAAATCTTGGGAAACCTTTTCGATTTACTTGAGTGATGTCGTTTTGGTCATTTTAGTGACTGAAATTTGATTTAGACAGAATTTTAATTAAAGTTGGGTGCTTGATGGAAACAAGGGAAGCTGTGCCAAGTCATCTTTTACAAAGAGCATTTTCAATGCTAAAAATAGAAATAGACGCTGATCTTGAACCCTCAAAGACATTAATAAGCACAGCATGTTTTTTAAAGTGATTCTTTGGGGTCTTTTAAGGTGGAAAAATTCTAGTTGCAAGAAAACCTGGAAGGCTTTACTTGATTCAGTCTTCGGGCAGGAATTCTTAGGAATATTTGTGCGTTTTCGAATAAGCATGAGTGGGGCTTCATTATTTGTGACACAGACAGCAGTCATCCTCTGTACTAATAAATTGTGTCTATTTTTTGCATGCCTGTAAATTGCGAGGAGATGGCTTCCATATTGTTGACTTTGAAAGGCACTAAACTATAGTTCAGTTCATTTGCTACATTCGTTTAACTGGGGTGATACACAGAGGTTATATTAATAAATGATCAATGTGCCCCCTGTGAATAATTCCTCAATTTGAGAGGATCCAGTGCAAGTTGGAGGAAAAATGTTTATGGATCAAGTCAGGTCTTGTCAGAATGCAGTGCTGAGGTGGGCTAACAGGGATGCTGAGAATTCTGCTCCCCCCTTTGTATTTTAATGAAACACCTATGACAGTGCTGGGTCAGAGCAGCGTCCAGTGGATCTCATCTTAAGTAAATACTTGCATCTAGTAGACCAAGCAATGAGCCAGCACTGGGAGTGACAGTCTTCTTCCTGCTAGACTCTCAGAGAGCTTTTTTCTGTCAGTGTCTCAGAGAACCTCATCTGAAAAGATGTGTAATGAGACAAGCTTAGAAACTAAGTTACCAAATCTGTTTTCTGTGCCAATGAGATGGCTCAGTGGTTGAAAGAGTTGCAGCTAAGCCTGGCAAACTGAGTTCCATCCCCAGGACCCACATGGTGGAAGGAGAGAACTGACTCCTGTATGTTGTTTTCTGACCTCCACACATGTACTATGGTACAAGTGTCCCCCAATAATAAATAAATATAGTTTAAAATATAAAAATCTGTTATTTTCATGAACCTTTAGATGGTTTTGTTTTTTCTTTTTTTTGAAAACTTGCTCATGTTCAGCACACTACAAATAAAATATGGTACCCACCTACACATGAGGATTATTCTATAGGATGCTGCACATTCCATGGTTTCAGTATATGAATGGTATGTTGGGTCCAGCTAGAGATGTTGGTTGCCAGTAGCTCTCCCAACCTGAGCAAATCTTTTGTATACTGGATATTTTGGAAGAGATTGCTCATGAAATCTGGAATTCTGCTTGCTGTTGTTTTTTAACAGAAGAGCAAAAGGCTAATGACATGTCTGTGCAATTTGTCTTTATATTGAGGCACACAGGTATTTCCACCAATGAAAAATATTGCCAAAGAAGGTAGGAGAATCTATGGAAATAGTGTTCTTAGGATCATAATACGAATAAATATGAAGAAAGTATGTTCTTGTAAACAAAATGGTCACAGACTATGATGAAAGAAGAGTTGACAGAAATCTGACTTGTAATTTTTGGTTTGGTGTTCAGAATACCATCAAAGTAGAAGAGATTTGTATTTTCTCTTTCAATGTTTTACAGATCGGCAAGTTTGATGGATTTTTTTATTTTATTGACTCTCAGTTCTTTTTTGTCAGAAAATTGTGATACAAGAATGTTTTGCACTTTCATTGAAGTCTTGGTTTCTATTTTGATAAGGTTGCAACATAGATAGAAGGGTATAGTATTCAAATTTCAAAGCATACAAATTATATTCACATCAAAGCCTGAAACAAAACACATCCCACTGGAGTTCTTATCTAAACTATATACTGTTTTCTTGAACTTCACAAGAAGTGATTTCAGGGTAGAATTGTATGAAGCCTCAAGGCCACCATGATCTCTATGTGGTAATTTCTACTGTCACAAAACCAATTTATTCTTATTTAAAAATAGCATATATTAATTTAAAGACACAAGTGCATGTCCATGCCTTGACTGTAAAGTCTGTTGTAGTTAACAGAGACTTGGTCCATTATTGCTGTGCTTTATCAATTTTGTAAGCCATGGGAGCAAATATAAATTATCACATCTTAATGTGCTAGGTAATATCATTAGAATTAAGAAATCATGAAAATGAAAAGAATAGATTGAAACCTTGGCATAATGGTAATTTCTGAATTCCAAAATGTCTTGATTAGACCCTATTGAACATTTGACTTGTAATATCCCCTTTGGATCCAAAGCTTCCATAAGGCCATGTACTTTCCAGGTTGTGTGAAGTAGAGATGGAGATTTCAGAGGGCTGCTGGGTAATAACTGATGGGGAGAAAGCAGTCTTCCTGGGGGAAGGTTTGCCCACATGTGTTATGCTGACCTCAGAAGGAGGTCTTTGTTTGTTCGATGTTTCCATGAACATTTGATTCAATGAATGTACGTGTATGATTTGAAGATGCAACAGAAGTTGTGAACTTTAAAGAAACAGTGGTAGGACAAAAAAAAAAAGCCATGTGAGCAGACACAGGAAGAAAAGTCATACTCATAGAGCCAGGGATAGCTTGGAAGAGGTTTTAGGAAATGAGTTTAGGAAAACCTTGAGTTAGGAAGACCTTAAGTTATTCTATTCAGCTTCAGATACATCCACAAGTGAGGCTTTTCTTTAACGCTGTCCACCTTTTAATAGATTTTCGTTATGGTCATATGTGGGGTTTAATGAATAGAGGCTCTTTTTCAAAAAAAAATGCCTGACCTGAAAATATAAATTTGGATCTGTGTCATAAGTGTGATTGTTAGAGTGCAGTGCTGAATGTCATAAATTGTTTCAAATTAAAATGAACCCATAAACTTTCCTCTGGAACCTATAATTTTATTGCAACTTAATTTGCAAACTATAAACTGTCATTATTTAAAAGTATTAAAAGTAACCTCATAATAGTATGCAAGGGAGTATGGTGCTTTGCTAATAAGAATTTTATAAAGGATTGAAATTTACAGTGTTTCATCCATTCAACAAATGTATACTGCCAGCCTCTTTTGTACCAGTCATCCTTGTAGGGATGCAGGAGGAAACAAAATCAAACTCTCTGCCCTCACAGGGCTTACACCCAAGAAAGAGAAAACATATATCATATGCATGAGTGATCTGAATGAAAGTTATTTCAGACAGTGATGAGCACAGAGGCAAAATATAAAATGTGGGAGGAAAGGAGGGAGGGAGGGAGGCAGGAAATGCTGAAAGTATAGAAACCCTGGAACATGAAACCATGATAGTTTAAAGACGTTCTGGAAGTTAAGGGACAGAGAGAACAGGAGGATGGAGGACCAGTAAGGGCAAAGGACTTGTTATTCACAAGCACCTGATATATCTGGGCACCCACAGGGAAGCAAATGACTATTGAGTCAGTTTGGGGAAATATGGGATGGAGGGTATGAAGGGATGAAGCATCGGTCTCTACTGGGACATTGCACAGGATTTGACTTTCGTGCTTATTGACTGAGAGGCCATCAGAGTGAAGAATGCCTTGATTCAGGTATGGAGAACAGTCTGTGGAGGTGTTAGAGAAAGAAAGACGGAAGATAGGTGAAGAGAATCTGGGTCCTCGAGTGATCTGTGATAGTGTGTTCCCCTGGGCCAAGTGAAAGCAGTAGAGGTGGTGTGAAGCATCCACATTTTGACTGCAATTTTAATAAAACTTTTCTTAAGAGATAACCCATGAGAATAATGTGTCTGCTCTAGGAATATAAAATAGACATTGGGCACCCTGAATGATAGTTGAAGACATGTCAGCTGCAACTGTTGTGAAATCTTCATTTGGGTTGAATTGCAAAGAAAATTCTGATTTACTCCAACATGGTAACAATTTATAACAAGCTCACTTAGCTGTGCTTGGATACTTTGCTAGAAGAATTGTATTTGAATAGGCAGCTACGTAGAAAAATTCTCTTTTAAAATTCTATTCCCTAAAATATGTACGTATGCTTCACATTCTTATAAATACAAAACACAAGAAAGAAGAATATACATACTAAGTACTAAAACGCAATGCAGACAAAACTGTAAGAAAAATTTAATCCTTATTCTAGGTACTAAAACAGTAAATGTGGAACACTGAGAGCCAGTGAACTGTTCCCTCTTCGTGCACAATTCATCACTGGGCCTTGATGAGAATACTGGATTTTGATGTGCCTGGACCCCGTGTGCTATGGTGCTATGCACCCTGGTTCAATTTTATATGAATACACTCTTTTTATAGCTCAAAATGTTTTATTTATGTGTGTGTCTGTGTGTGTGTCTGTGCATGTGTGTGTGCGCACTTCAGTTTCCCCAGAGCTTGAGTTATTGGTGATTGTGAACTGCCTTAAATGAATGCTGGGAAGTGAATGCTTTTCCTCTCCAAGAGTAGCAGGCGCTCTTTGCCATTGAACCATCTCTCCAGCCCATCCAAATATTTTTTAAATACTAATGAACCGTGTTACCAACAAAAAAATTATGGGGCTGGGGAGATGACTTTATGGGTAAAATGCTTGTTGTAAAGCACGAGGACCTTAATTTCATTCCCAGCATCCATGTATAAGTGGGACGTGACAATATGTGTCTGTAACCCCATGTGTCTGTTATCTGAGGGCTCACTGGCAATCTAGTCTGGCCAAAATAGCATGCTCCATGTTCAATCAGTAAATAATTTAGAGAATGATTGAGAAA